GGGGGAGAGACGGCCGGTGGCGGTGGAGAAGGCGGGCGGTGAGAGAGGGGAGAGAAATGGTGAGAGACGAGAGTTGATTTAGGGTTCTTATTTAAAATAAATTTGGTGGGAGTAGTTTAAAATGATAAAAACCTGATTTTTGATTAAATAAAGTCTAAACCTGATTTTTAGAAAGTAATCTTTAAACAACTAATTTTTTATAATTTTCCTATTTTGAACTGGTCCAACCAAATTGGTTCTGAAAAGCAGCAAACCAGCGAACAGACCAACTGAAAGCCCATTTAAGTGGCAGAGGATTGTGTGGGCCTACTTTCATAAGGAAATAATGGGCCATCGGGCTGTTTGGATTTGTGATAGGAAAGACCGGCTTTGGGTTGCTCTGGAGTGGCTGCTTCTCAAGCTCAAGTTCAGGCTCAGGCTCAAGCTCTGACATTGAGGTCAGCATTGGATCCGGCTTCTCAGACTTTCCTTCTAAGACTTCACATCAATTTTCAACTCCAAACCATTTTTTCAATTTTTCTAGTTTTGCTTTGCGAGATTATACGTTAGGAATTCCTCTCGGCTCCAAAGCGCCAGGATGCTTTCCTGTGGCACTAGGTTGTTGAACCCCACCAAACCCATTATTCTGAAAAAACTCGTATTAGTTTCGTGCCGAGTAAAGAGAAAAATCGACTACAATTAATTGAATCAATTTCAATCTAAGAAAGATGGATCTTGAATAACTTGAAATAATAAAAAATTTAAAACAAAATATTTAACCATAAATTTGGGAGCGACTCCACAAATTCAGTTTCCTTTTCGTGGTTTGTCGAATTCACAACTCACTACGTGTCATTTCTTGGGAGACCGTCTTACTCTTACGAGCAAATTATTTAAAGTTCGACTAAAATATTTAATTTAATTTCAACCAACAAGTCAAGCCCATCTCTACTCGAATTGCTGGTTGCACCTCATTCCTATCCTCCATCCGTCTTCATCTTCAAGAGGAGCTTCTTCCCATTTTTAGGTTGACGAGTGAAGGCACCCAGAGATCTTCCTTTCAATGAGTCAATGTAAAATACACAGAAACAAGTCATAAATGAACTAGCGGAATGAAATTTAACCATTTACAAAGGAGCAGGTGTCACAAAATATTCATTTAGCAAATACTAGAACAAGTTCGAATAGATGATTGAACCCAATAAAACTGGTTCAAATACACAACCAACATAGTGATTTTGTTAATAGTACAGGCAAAAGCAGTTTATTAATTAGTTTAACTAAAGGCCTAGTTACTGAACCATCCAAACAGATCCTTAATGAACAGGACCACTACAGTCCCACAGACTGGCCCAAGAAGCAAAGAAGAAACCCAACAAACAGCCCCAAGGAAAGTCCATTCAATTGGGTCGAGCCCGAGGGTGGTGTGTCCGGCACTGGCTCGGGCTCGGGCTTCGGCTCCGGTGGAGGTGGAGATGGCTTAGGAGGAGGCGGAGATGGCTTAGGCGCCGGTGGAGGAGGCGGAGATGGCTTAGGTACCGGTGGAGGAGGCGGAGATGCCTTAGGAACCGGTGGAGGAGGCGAAAATGGCATAGGAGCCGGTGGAGGTTGAAAAAATGGCTTAGGCTCTGGTGGAGGAGGCGTAAATGGCTTGGGAACCGGTGGAGGAGGGAAAAATGGCTTAGGCTCTGGTGGAGGAGGCGTAAACGGCTTGGGAACCGGTGGAGGAGGGAAAAATGGCTTAGGCTCTGGTGGAGGAGGCGTAAACGGCTTGGGAACCGGTGGAGGAGGGAAAAATGGCTTAGGCTCTGGTGGAGGAGGCGTAAACGGCTTGGGAACCGGTGGAGGAGGGAAAAATGGCTTAGGCTCTGGTGGAGGAGGCGTAAACGGCTTGGGAACCGGTGGAGGAGGGAAAAATGGCTTAGGCTCTGGTGGAGGAGGCGTAAACGGCTTGGGAACCGGTGGAGGAGGGAAAAATGGCTTAGGCTCTGGTGGAGGAGGCGTAAACGGCTTGGGAACCGGTGGAGGAGGGAAAAATGGCTTAGGCTCTGGTGGAGGAGGCGTAAACGGCTTGGGAACCGGTGGAGGAGGGAAAAATGGCTTAGGCTCTGGTGGAGGAGGCGTAAACGGCTTGGGAACCGGTGGAGGAGGGAAAAATGGCTTAGGCTCTGGTGGAGGAGGCGTAAACGGCTTGGGAACCGGTGGAGGAGGGAAAAATGGCTTAGGCTCTGGTGGAGGAGGCGTAAACGGCTTGGGAACCGGTGGAGGAGGGAAAAATGGCTTAGGCTCTGGTGGAGGAGGCGTAAACGGCTTGGGAACCGGTGGAGGAGGGAAAAATGGCTTAGGCTCTGGTGGAGGAGGCGTAAACGGCTTGGGAACCGGTGGAGGAGGGAAAAATGGCTTAGGCTCTGGTGGAGGAGGCGTAAACGGCTTGGGAACCGGTGGAGGAGGCGTAAACGGCTTGGGAACCGGTGGAGGAGGAAAAAACGGCTTAGGAACCGGTGGAGGAGGCGTAAACGGCTTAGGAACCGGTGGAGGAGGCGTAAACGGCTTAGGCTCTGATGGAGGCGGAAATGTAGGCTCCCGTGGAGGAAAAATTGGCTTAGGTTCCGGTGGAGACGGCGTAAACGGCTTAGGCTCCGATGGAGGCGGAAATGTAGGCAACGGCAGCGGCTCCGAAGGCTTCACGTCAACGTGTAGTTTCAAACCATTATTGCAATTTTCCTGGTTCCCAATCACAAAATACCTATTCCCTTCCCTTTCAAGTGGAATTTGATCTACACCGTCCGTGTACATCTTGATAGGGTTAGAGAGATCACACGATTGAAATTCATCCAGACTCTGCAGCTCCACGATGCTTTCCTGTGGTACTGAGTAGGTAAACCCTGCATAAAACACAAAAGTAAACTCACTGTTTTAAGAGAACCTCCTAAACCTTGCTTTCAATTTTCTGAGCTTATTTTCTAATAAGTAGCTTTTAAATAAATTCAACGAAGATACACTTACAGAGTTTGTCACCAACCCTGAAGACTCGGCCGGACAACCAAGAACCGATGTCGGAATCAGAGTCCCAACGGCGGTTTCCGCCGACCACATGGTGAGCTGGGCCTTGAACCTCTTGCGCCACAACTGCCACCGCCACAAGAACCAGCACTAGCAGAGCCCTAAACGCCTTATCGCCAGCCATTTCCACTAGCTTGAAAATGAAAACCCTCCTTTTCTCTTTAATGAAAAGTTCAGTCTATTCATCCGCTGCTGTTCCCTATAAATAAGTCAAGGTGAAGGTGACGAGCACCGTGTAAAAGATAGACCAATTAGAAAGCTAACACGTGTAAACGTGGAACACTAAATGGAACACGTATCAAGATTATTGTTATTATTTTATTAAATATCTGACTCTTCACATTTTTTTCATAATTTATCGTATATGTCCGTTGAAATCTTATCTTCAACAGTTAAAATTTAATTTTTATCAAATTTCTATAAGCGAGCAACAGAGATATGCTACATGTACATAATTTGGGTTACTTAAGGGTGTCCACCCTCTCATATGGGGTGGACCCCACATGCATAAAAAAAATATTAATTCATGTGGGGTCCACCCCATGTGAGAGGATGGATACCCTTAGGTAACCCAAATTATGTACAAGTAGTGTTTTTCATAGCTTAAAAACCTTGATATGTGTTAGCACAAATTTTTACGTTTAGCACGAAATTTTAGACGTATTCGACTAGCACTTAAATTACAGTGTCGTTTTTTTCGAAAAACTCGAACGAGTGCAGATAAATCACGTGTAGTTTTTGAAATAATGGCTTTCACGGTATAATTTGATTTTCAACACGTATCTAACATTTCCATTGAATTTTTTCTTAACCAAATGACTATGTGTGTGTAATATTGATAAACGAGCAATCGTTAAATTTGTTTTAAAAACTTTTATATACTCGAATACTATGTTAAACGACAGCCACAACTAAAACATCAAACGTATATGAAATAAACACGTATGTTTATCTAATACACTAAGGCTCTGTTTGGTATGCAGTAATTTTTTCATTCTTATTCTTCTACTCATTTTCCACCACACATTCTTTAATAAAATAATATTTTTCATCGCATCAATAACTTTTTCTTCATTTTTAACCACACATTCCCATCAATTTACTATTCAATAATACATTCTTTCAAAAGAATGTGTCCCAAACACACTTTGAATGGCAATCTCGTTTATTATTTCTTAATCACACATTTCTTTAATTTTATTACTTATAAGTACTTAATCAACAAGCACTTAAAAGTTAAAACTACCCCCTCATTTAAAAAATTCAAACTCTATGATCACGTGTATTTTTATTATTTAAAAATGCGTGAGTTCACTATCAAGCATTTCACCTACCTCCTCCCGCTTGCACTTGTCATCTTTTGGTAGGTAAAAGTCTACAATCTAGAAGAGGCAACTCACGAGGAGGTTGGGACAAAAACGGTAATTTTATTTTTGGATTTTGCAAAGCTGCAAAAATAAGATTTTATTTAAATTGTCAAATGACATAAAGCGTGATCGATAGAGATTAAAATCGAATTAAAATTGAAAAATTAATCGTATCCAATAAGGATTATATTTTTAATTTTAATTGAATTTTAAATTTAGCCAAACATGCTCATAATGTTATCAGGCACTGTAAATAAAATTGTCGTTCATATTGCACTATGATTCTTTATTTTTTGATAAATGGGAAGCAAAAATTAAAAAATTTGTATTTGATACTAGCGTAAGATAACTTGTTTTTCCATCATATTCTTAAGAAATAAATAAATAAAAATGCGAAAAATTATGATGACAATATAATCACCCTTTACGGCTTGGCTGAAGCCCTAAGTTATGTAAGTTTTGATGTAAACTAAGTCACTATATATTTTCTGTAGAAGTAAAATATAAGTTATTAAAGGATAATAAAAAGTTACTTAAAAAGCAATTGTACCTTTTTCCGAGATTAACCGGACAGGCTTTATCTATTTTTTCCAACAGTACATCAGTTGGTTGACATATAAAGTTCCTTAAAGTCTACGATAATTTAATTGAATAATGCTAAACGTACATCATTTGATTGAAATCTTTGCGTATACTCCATGAGAATTCAAAAAGCGTTGGACGAAAAAGTGTATTTTTTTTAAAAAAAAACTGTCAAATTATGCATTACCGCGTGATATGGAAAAAAATATATATAAATGTAACATGATTGTATTTAATTTGAATTTCAAATTTTAACTTTTTTCGTGTGCAGTCCATGTTGAACGCGCCATTTTATTATCGGTCCAACCCTGAATTTTCTGAAGTTGATTGACAGAAGCCAATTTTTCCATTGGATTTACTTTACATGGTTGAAAATCAAATGCCAGAAGATGAGATATCAAGGTTGAAAATCCAATGATTTCTGGAAGAAACTCCTTGTATAGGGAAATCATCGGAACATTTTACAGGTACAAAATCTATCAAGTATATATCTCCACAAGAATTATGTTATTTGTACCCTATGAATTACACTCTTGTTTATCAAATCCCACCCCCTCTCTCACATAGGGATCCGGTCCCACGTCCAATAAATACGTGGGAACCGACCCTCATGCGAGAGAGGGGGTGAGTCCAAATAAACAAAAGTGTAATTTATATGGTACGTGTAGCATAACCTATCTCAACAAAACCCTTGCAAAATCCCCTAACAATGGAGCACTGTCGATGATGATTTTTTTACCGTGTTTCAAAATGCAAGTACGTTCGTGTTTTCATTGGGTGGTTCATATTTCTTTATCTAGATTCCTCATTCAGCACAACAAGTGTCAATTGAATCGTGTTGATTACTTGTACTTGACCCCTTCAATTCATTTTATACATTTCACCTCAACCCCCATATTCTAACAAGAAAATTTTAAGTTGTATTTAAAATTATTATTTTTAAGATTGTATAAGCATTGACATGTTTATTACACTATTAAAGCTTACCTCTATATTTTGAAAGAAAACGTCAACAATCGAGACGTAAGGACCTATTTGGCAAGACTTCTAAGAAGTTAATAGCCACTTCTGTGACTAGAAGCTCTTTTAGTACTTTTTTGAATGATTTTATGGAAATGTTTTGTCTGGTTAAAAAAAATTCAGAAGGAAATTGATCAAATGTGACTTCCTTAAGAAGATTTTCTATAAAAATTAAAAGCAAAAGACAAAAGTTGAAGATACCCCAAACAGGGAAATAATAACTTAGATTCTTGCACCTGTCCTATACAGCTATACTTGATTTTCTATAAAAAAATTTAAATCAAAACTTGAAGATACCCCAAACAGGGCCATAATAACTCAGATTCTTGCACCTGTCCTATACTTTTAGTGAAAGTTCAGCACGAATTCTAAATAATGATTGGACAGTCCAACAAAGTGAACAAACAAGATATAAATTTATTTTTCTTTTGATACTATCCAGTACTATTGAGTCGACCTTATCGAACATGGTCATTTGTAATCAAAACATTATGCAACTTGACGACTAAGAAACTTAACAAAAATCAGTAGTTTTTGAAGTTAACATGGAGAAAAAGGGAATGTGTATCTCAGCAAATCTGACAGACACAAGATGCCATTGAAACAAAAGCCACAGGCATGCTAGTCTCTTCCAAATGTTAAAGCACATTAATTTGGCAGGCAAAGTGGTGATGAACTGAAATAACCATGAAATTTTTTATACCCATCACCTGTATAGATAACCATTTATCCTCTGCAATTGACCTCGACTCCTGCTAACGCAATACAGTGCTGTGCAGATGTAGTTTTGCTACCTATAATCATTAGGGTTTTCTTTGCTCTGGATGAGAGGGACGCCATCTTCCCGCCAGATTATCCGGTCTTCACATAATGCAGCTACTACCTCGACATACAATCTGTGCTCCTGATCATGAAAATTAGGGGTGTCAAACACAAAGAAAACGAAAAAAATAAGAAAGAAAAAAAAGGGGAAAGATGGTTAACACAGTGGAAGCGAATGTTCATAATTACAGATGAAACCAAGAATTGGATGGTAATGAATATTATTCCTCGAAAGAGTAAAATATTTCATTTGGGCTGAGATATAAAAGTTGGATATGAATTTCGACCTCATGAAGAACCCTTGCAGCTAGCTCCTCTGCTGTGTCATTAGCAAGCACAGGAACTACCCTTTGAGCAAGTATACGACCTGTGTCATAATGCTCATCAACATAATGGATTGTAGGACCAGAGTACCTGTATTAACATCGCAAGAGCAGAAAAATAAGATAGCTGACAGAAGTCACATTTTAGTGACAGTAGAAATCACTGCTCATATTTGAAGAAATGCTATACAGAAGGCAGACAATCAAGATGAACAAGCGAATTATCTATTAAAAAGTTTATGGTTGCATCCCGACGATTGATTATATCTGAGCAAATTGAAAAATTCAAATTGACAATTCTTATGACGTGTTATGTGAAATTTGTTGACTGGACGAGAGAGAATATGAGTAGAAATTTATTTTTTTGCTCATATATCAGAAGTTTTCATGATTGAGTTTACTCTGTCAATTACGATGGCAAGAAGAGAGAAATTTGTGAACTACACCATAACAACTACATATACGAACTCTATTTGTCACTACAATGCACCTATCCAATCAGAGAACAAACAAAATTCTTAAGAGTAAAGAACAAAAAGGTAGTATCTTTGAGCTATATTAGATAGCAAACGATTGCTTCTATAGCCCAATTTTCAAATTTATACATTGCCTGCACGCATGTCTCCTATAATTTGGAAATTTGTGCATCTTCATGACTAAAACTGATACAGTTTTGGCATGAAGCTACATTTCCAATGTTAGTATTTGCTAACTTCAAAGATAAAAGATAGTTCATTACCTCTTACAATTATGAATCATGAATCATGATCACTAACAACTTTTTGGAATATCATAGGGCGTAGTTCAATTCGCATATGAAGAAAATGAATCAAATACAGAACAGGAAACAAAAAGAAAGGAAAAGGATATATATTGAACATGTATACCTTGCTCCAGAAGCAATCACTGCTTTATGCACCTTAATGCCAAAATAACCTTTGCCTCCAAATGCTGGAAGAAGTGAAGGATGAATATTTAATATGGATTTTGGATAAGCTTGGACCAACTTGGTCGGGATAAGCTTGAGATAACCAGCTAAAAGAATGAAATCAACTTTGTATGACCTGAATAAATTAAGGCAGCACAATTGTTAGAAAGTTTTAAGGACGTGGCAGATCAAGGAATGACAGAGATGTTGGGCTAAAAGAGGGTGGTAATGTGATATGATGTTGGATGTTGAAAAATAGTTCATGCAGATAAGCCAAGCCAAGCCAAGCACATGGATTAAAAGGCGGCAAAAATTACATGATAGTTAAAAAGTAGCTGAAATACTAGGAAATTAAAGCATCAGAGTACTTTTGAATTCAGTTAAAACTCAAGCTACCCATATATTATTGAGCACAAGGTTCATCACTTTTTTGTCAGTGTTTTGTTCTTTTTGATGCTGAAATTCTATGAAAACAGAAGCATAAGAATCAAGGTAACCTCATTTCCCCTTCTGCTAAAAATTCAAATATCACGTGCTAATAATCTTATGCTTTCGTTTATTTTTTACTGTTGTCCTAAAAAATATTGAGGAAACTTTTATGCCTGAAACGAACTAATGCATGAGATAATATGGGTGAGGACATGCATTGACAATTAGATAATCTAGATAAATAATTTCAGAAGGTAGAAAAGTGTAAAAGAAGGCTGACCTAAGTGCAGCTATAAGATTTTCTGTGGATAAACCCTCAGTTGCATCTTTATTTTTAGGGAAAAGAATAACAGGGATGCCGTTATCTCTCGCATACTTAGCACCTCCACAATCTACAATTCCAAAGGATTGAAGGATAAAATACCTGTAGAAATTAAACAAGATTCTCTGCAAAATATAATTCATTCTGCAAATACTTCAATGGTTGCCACATGAAGATTTACTGTATAAGGGATGCTCTTATCTCGGCGTACATGGTACCTTCATGATAAATACATGTTGAACATACACAGTGTAGAGCAAAAGTGTGTGCCAATTACAAAGGTTTCGTACAAATTCTTCAATGGTTACCACGTAAAAGAATAAGCAATTTCACAAGAATTAATGATACCCACTTACAAATTCAAACACTTCGAAATCCTAAGCCTAACAATTCATAACAGAAAACCATCCGTTTTCCAGAATCTCCAAAAGGACACGAATTCGACAAAATGGATTGAGTACACCATCGAGGGTCAACTTAGACATTGAAAAATTAAGTGAATAAATTAATTCATCCAGAAAAGAAACAAAAAGAAGAAACTTCAATAATGTAGTCCATTTGACAGTTCACGTTAGCACCCAGAAAAACGAAAAATCTCATAATAATATGATTACCGTATTTATTGGTGACCAAAACAGCAATATCTCCATGGACGGATCCATTAAGAGTAGCATCAAAAATTGACCTAAAATTTGAGCCTCCCCCAGATACAAATACTGCAAGATTTTTCCGTTTAACTTTCAATTTTACACTATTTTCTTCTATATCAGAAACCACTTTATGTTCTGTTTTTACTACACAATTTCTGCGCCGTAAATTTGTAGAGGCGGGTAAAATACTATGTGAAGAGAAGGAAGAATTGTTTTTCAACCAAACCCGCTTTGTGGAACAGACTTTGGATGAAAAATAGGTGGGTAGCGTCAAGAAGGAAGGGGTTTTAGGGCTTTGAATGGAATGAATTGGTGAGCTTGAAGGACCAAGAATTGAACCTCGAACTCGAATTGACATTGATCAAACACTTGAATTACCAGTGATGGGAGTGTATAAAATGGGTTAAAGGGCATGAAAAAATTCGAAAAAATTTCAGTGCAGGTGATAGTTGGGGTTTGGGTGGGTTTAGGGTTTGAAGGAGGAAACAGAATCTTCCTTGTCGGGACCTTCAGTGTTAAAATGGTCCCTAAAGTTAGTTTATTATCATTCACGTCCTTATCCTATATGTTTAGTGCGTAATTGATCATTTTTAATGAAAAACCAAATATACCCCTAATAGTAGAAAATCCAACCGTAAAATATAAACGGCAAGGAGCCGGTCCAATTTCGTATCACCGGTGGACCGCGTAACAGCTAGTAATTATTAAAGACGCTCACAGAATTGAGAATTCACGCATGGAAATACTGGGTGCATAATATTACCGTGCAACAACCAATCGCCATAACCGTAGCCGTGATCCGCCACCTTCTCGGCAAATCCGCTGCCACAGGATTTATCTTGAATTATGGAGGGAGTGGGAGCTAGGCTAGGGCGGTCCTCAACTCGATACGCTCCCGCCACCGTTTTCACCGGTCCCGTCCGAAAGTGGAAGAAGAAGTGGATCCACATAACGCCGTCCAGTTCCAATCAAACGGAAGCCAATGGAAGAGTTAACGGCGTTAATAGCTCTTCACATCTCTTGCTGTACAAATGGACACCGATCACTGCCAACCAAAACAAAGAGAATAATGGTAATGACGGGAACAATGAATCGAAGAACTACAGTAAAGACGAGGATGATTCAGTGGAAGAGCCGCCTAAGCGTAAATTTAAGTACATTCCGGTACTTTTCTGTATTTTGATTTCTTCTTGATTTAGTTTATTTGCCTTCGCGATTTCATTGTATATGAAATGTATGGATGCTTGATGCTTCGGTGAGCTGGGTATGGACGTGGTGCCTTAAAATGTGGAATTTAACTGAGGATTGAATTGTTTGTATATAAAGTTATTGGTAATTTCTTTTTTCAACGGCGAAATATGGTTTTGGGTTCTTGAACTGGACTAAAAGTGAATAGCGATTCTGGGCTTTATTTTCAAATTAGAAGCTGGAATTCTGGAATTGAAAGATATTGAGAATTGCCTGGGTGAATCTCTGTTCTCGGAGTGTGTCATTTGGTAATTTTTGGAAATTTCTGGGGGTAGGGGTGGGCGTGGAGAAGCAAAATCTGATTTCTTCAGGTTTAATTAAAAATTTAAACATCTAGAGGGGATAGAGAGTTTTTGGATACTTGGGAACAATGGGAAGAATGTAAAATTTTCCCTCCTTTCTTTCCATTCATGGTGATCTTCAAGGTGAAAGAGACTGCAGATGAAATTGCATTTAAAGAGGAAACCTAATTGTAAAGTCAGGAATTCGAAGGCTTTGATCTCGCAATATTCTTGTAATTGTTTTTTGGGAGCTTTAACTCTGGGATATAGATATTAGGGAATCTTGCATTTGCAATTCGAGAGAAATTTTTGGGTGATAAAAGAGCTTCCTTCTCGAAATGGTGAAGGAATCAATTTTTACTGCATGTGGACGTTATCGGTTGTTTTGAGCTAAGAATATACAGTTCCTGTTTTATCAAAAGGTTTTATTGTTTCCAGTAAGCTTGAAGGGCTGCATCTAAAGGCTATAAACAATACGAAATGTCATAAAATATATGTTATGGTGTGCGCCTGTGTCTTCTCGTGTGTGTATGTGTACCATGCTTCAAGCACATAGGGAGATCCTCATTTTCTTCTGAGTTTTCTTGCTCCAACCATGCTTCAAGCACATAGGGAGATCCTCATTTTCTTCTGAGTTTTGTTGCTCCAATTCAAGTTCACCTAATTCTCTGTCCTTTTTGTTACCGCCTTTTAATAAAATTCATTGTTTGTAAAGGAAACAACGGAATTGTAAAAATGGAATCCCCCCGTCCCCAACAGGGAAAGGCGTTCCCTTTTGCTTCTCCATCAAAACACAAATGGAGTTTTTTCGTTTTACTTCAAGCATATATAGCGTCGCTGTCTATCCTGGTACCTTTTATTAGCAAGTGGACCATTCTGGACATTTGACTATCTAGCCATAACATACTTAGGGTATTCCTGTTCAGAGAAAAGAACAACTTCAATTGAAGCATCAAAACTACGACATATGTTTGCCATCATTTTATTGGATTTTCTTTATCTGAAATGGAAGCCCACCTTTTTACTGAGTTGTCTTGATCGCAAGTCATTGCAGATGGCATTGTTGAAGGGTCATAAAAGATATGCCTTTTGGCAAGCATATGAACATGCTTCATCTTTTTGCCTTCAAGTTTTATTTCTAGCATGTAAATATGTTTCCTTGAACTTATGAAACAGTTCGGAGATCTGTTGGCATTGATGTACCTCTACTTTGAAATCGATCTTATTTACGTATTTCAGTACCCAATATTGAGAAAATGGCTAATTTAATTAATCTGCAGTAGTTGCGAAATATTTAATGCATTATCAATGTGTTTGTCACTTTGGCTTATACAAATTTCACAATGCTCTCATAAATACAAGGAGAAATCGAAGTGAAAGAAAATCAAATTGATAAAAGAAGAAACGAATAGAGTTAATGTTTAAGCCCATGCCATTTTATATTTGTTAGCATCAATCTAATATCTCATGTCATTAGGTGATTGCTCAGACCAGAATGTATGCCCTATCGTGTTCGGTTTCCGTTACTCTCTAGATGCCTTTAATTGAATCTGATTTTGCTCATGCTAAATGGAATTTTGCACTTTCTAAGTCCCATCTTCATGATTGGTTTGTAATCTCCTTATCTTTGTATCTTTCATCTTTCGTGAGCCACTGGATCCAATTGATCTCGATGCTAAATTATCACAGAAGCAGTCGGAAGCTAACGATGAGAATGAATAATTTTTACATATTTGATATTTTGATACACGTTAACCATTGACCTTACCCCAGTACACTTTAAGGAAATTTTGCTGTTGTGGATCCTTATTATAGTCATATATTGGCTTAGCTTTATGAATCCTAAGGAATTACCATTTTTTTTACTTGATTTAATTTTTATTGTTGAATAATTAGATCTCTTAGAATGATAGTTTAAGAAATAACATGCAGTGGTAATTGGACCATATGAACTTTTAATATGCTCCAGTTTTCTTTAGGAAGCCTCAGAAAATCAATAAAGTTCCATGGTCTTGTATTATTGTATTGTGATTTTGCTGAGGACAGTTGAATAGATTCCACTAATTATGTAATGTTTCATCCTCTGTTTTTGGAGATCAAAATAGATTGCTGTGCTGGAAGAACAAGCAAACGAGTCCTCAGATCAGTTAGAGGATGAACCTAAGCCAATTGAAACTGAGATAAATACAGTGGAGACAACCTCCAAGAGTGATGGGCATGATGAAAAGCCTGATATCAATGATGTACCGATGGATGATACTCAGGTGATTAACTTACACATTGCAATTCATGGATTTTTAATTACTTGATGGATGTTCTTTCAGTGACCATTGTACAAATAACCAACAAGTCCTTAAATATCCTTTCTACTTTTACATAGAGAACCAAATCATCTTTGATCCAACACAAATTTATGAGAAACAAAACTTGAGCATGTTTCACTAAGCTTATCAAAAAGTAAAAGTTTGTTTCTAAACACGTTTGAATGTCATTTTTCTTCCTTTTAGCCTCTGTTCTTTAGCTATACATTGCGTGTGACCCAATATTATTATCCTAAAAAAGTTACTATTAATTTTACCAGAACACTCACTTATTTAAAAACAGTTACTTATTTTGAAAATAACTCTTATTTTATTGTCAAAATAAGTGACTTGCTTATTTCAAACTTAACCAATAAAAATGTAATTTATTTAGAACGAACTTATTTACATGTACTTAAAACTAACTTTTCGAGCAAAGCCAAAATAGGTTCTTAGCTTGTTGACAAAATTCTCTTTGAATGTTACTAGCAGTTTTCCTCTTCTTTCCTTAAGAAATTGGCAGCAGATTTTGAAAATTTTCAGTTTATAATGCTCCTTCGCTTGGATTTTATCTGCTATCTGTTTTTTCACCACCTGATTGGATCTTTACACCTTAATTTTTTCCGAAGTGGACTTTGGGAGAGAATATGAGTACTTGTTGAGTGTTGAATGAGCATTGATGCTGATATCTGTTTGCCTTCTTGTATTTTCCTTTGAGCTTCTCGAAGTCATTGATTTCATTGATCTCTCTATATTTCTATCTATGGCTATTTGTGTAGAAGTTTGAATGCACGTTATATATGAACTTTTCAATTGTGTTTGTATGTGTCAGGCCCCAGAGGAAAATCCTGTAGAACGTAGAGATCTGAATGTAACCCCATTGGACTTGAGTTTAGGCTTGAAGGCTAGTGATGGTGAAAATGAATCCAACTCAAAAACAGTTTGATCAAGACAAACGAGGATAGACAAACTCCAGCAATATTGTGACGTTATGGTTTGAAGCAAAAGAAGAGTCGGATGCTATTCTATCCTCACAAAAAACACCATTCTCCATTGGCTAATCGCTCTGCTCGAATAAACAAGTAAATTCGAGCAGCATAGCCCGTATTTTTAATTTGATCTGATACTTCATTTATTGAGTTGATTGCAATTTGCATCGATTCTGTGTCCTCAGAGCTGCAATCAATATTTTTTATACTTTGGTACAATTTAACTTGACAGAATGTATTTGGATTTTTGCACTGACCATTGTTGAATGCAATTTACACCATACTGGTTTGGCCTATCAACTCTTTGTGTTGCCCATGTAGTTTAACTATTTTTCATTACATTCGTATCTTCAATCTTCCATTAATTAGCATATTTTGTTCATGATGACAGTTTGTGTCCAAAATTTTCAATAAGAATTTGTAAAAAGATTTGTTTGTCTGTCATATTTTAAATTGAGTAAAAAATTACAGCAAATACAAAATTGTAACATGTTTTTTAAAGATTTTTTTAAAATATTTTTTTTCCTAAAAATCATTTTCAACTACAGATGTTTTAGAACCTAGAACAAACCTTCCTCAGTTTTTAACCATGTATTCTTCAAAAAATTTATTTTTCCCTTGGAAAAATCTGTGCAAAACAAGCTTAAAATATTTGATGCCCATTTGATTAAAAGTTAAAAGATGTAAATATAAATGAATAAAGATTATGAACTTTCGGCCCCCATTTGACGCCCATTATTTCATCAAAAATGAATTTTGTGGTTAAAAAGTAAGAAAAAACTTTAGATATACGCGCAAAATATTTTATTGTGAAAATGTGTGATTCAAAATAAGTTTGATAAAAAATAAGTTTTGAAACAATAAAAATCAAACATGGGAAATAACCGCCGAAATATTTAAAGTTGCATCTTTTTTATCATCCATTTCTCCCATTTTTCAATACATAAAAACGTACATTACACCCACTACTTTCCAAACTATATGGACTAAACCGTGTCACTGATTCTATTACGTTTTGCTTCACAAGGCTCTACACCACACCAAAATATGAGCAAAGGTAGGGCCCCACACCACACCAAAATATATTAACATATCATGAGGCTAATCTGGCCGAACTCCTTTTTATGATCGAACCAATATATTTGTTGACCCCATCAAACCATACTGATCCCATGGGAATGAGTTGGTCTGTGAGTAGAGGCAAAGTCACAAAAGAAGTTTAGCACAAGATTTCCGAGACAATCTTTTTGATATATGATTGACATGACAATTCAGTATCGTCACTGTCAGCCTATCTTGTCAAGTATAAAGTGACAAAAATAGGTATTATGGATGCTAAAGTGGTGTTAGCATTCAAGGCTTATGATTGATTGATATCTAAGACAAGAGATAGCAACTGGATAGAAGAGGCCACACATCTCTTCATTCGACGACTCTTACTCATCATTTTCTATTATAAAAACTCACACTTAATGTCATTTTAGAGCAATTCAAGTTTAGACTTTTGTTATATCACTGTTTTATTTATTATTTCTTAGAATCAACTTCCTTTTTATATTGGAGAAAACTCTTCCACACTCATATATTTACTTCTCCAATTGACTTAATCATCGAAGTGTGCGCGACGGACTCAACTCCCACCAAAAAAAGTCATGTACGACTAACGCTTGTCTAAATGTGCAAGAACGATGTTTGAGTGGATGTAAGAAGTCTCGAAACTTGTTAGCCACGTTACATTTTTTTTCAAGGGTCAATAGATTCAACATTTTGGAGTGAAATATGATTCGTTCCCAAATTTAACTGTTCGTTCCAAATTTAACTGCCCCCCACTTATTCATGACGCGACGTCGTTGAATCAGAATCAAATCCCAGTAGAGTTCGGTAATCGGGTCGTGGCGCAACCGTGATTTGCCGCCATAGATTCAGACAGCCGACCACTTTACAAAGACTCCAAACTGTTGAAAAGGTAATTTCCATCAAATCTATGTAGAAATTAAAGGTGCTTATGTAAATTCTCAATTAGCTGATATGATGCAAACAATTGAGGGATATCGCGTAGCAGCTTGAGGCCGTGTGTTGTACAATTAGTAAGTGTGCTTGCTGAATATCACTGAGTCTCGTTAGGGCAATTCGAGAATCATGTGATGCTAAATGATTTGTCTAGTTTTTTATGGCATCTTGATGTTTTGAGAATAATTCAGAGAAGTTATGTAATTCGCGATTTTTTGTTTTTGTACAATGTATTCGCTTTTCTTTCTTTCATTTTGTCTTTATCCCTCTACTCAAGAAATTCATTCATCTAATACTAGGAATTGTAGAGCAACATGTTAATTTCATTACATCTATTCCCCTTACTCTGAATTCCCATGGTAGACGATGTTAACAATCTCTAAGTAACATTTATACTTAAAGAGTATAAAACCCCAAATTCTTAGATGAAGAAAAAGGGATTTCTGAAATCCTTTAAATAGCTGAAGTTCAGTAATTATGAAGCAACCATTGACACGGTTACTATGGTGTGGGGGTGGTATTCAGCCAAATATCCTCTTTTCTTATGAGGGTAATTATGATGTCAAGGTATTTACGATGGGATAGAAATTGTAGAACCAGAAATGTCTAACTAGTGCATCTTATTATCTTGAAAGGCTGCTTCGATCACATTTCTTTCGACTTGTAATTGCAAAAGTCATTATTGTTCAAAATCTTGGAGTCGTGTACATGAAGATAGTTCACACCATCCTATTATGTCAACCAATATATTAGTAATCTAATCTGAATTTCTTCTGCCGATTGTAGAATTTCTTTCCTTCTGTTTTTAACTTAATCTTTCTAGTGACTTCCTCCATTCTTCTTGTAGATGTTTCTTTATAGTCTAGTGCCTTTCCTGTAATATTTCAGCCATGGTTAAGCGAGTAGGTAATTGTATTGAATTCAATTGAGCTAGTAAAGCATAAGATATCTTCGATGCTAAATTATGCCTGATTGTTGTTCAATGTGCAAACCAAGTTTTACTGACTAATTGTCAATCAAAAAATGACTGCGGAGTGTGGAATTGCTTTCAACCATTGACCAAAATGACTCTTCATAGGACCTAACTTTCCATTATTTTATATTCCTATTTTGATAAAGAAATAAATAATAAACGATTATATGATTTGTCAGTGCACACTAAGCCCCGCTGCAACAATGTTCAATCTCTTTATATGTTGAAATTTTTTTAACGCTATCATGGTTGATTCAACTTGTTCCATCTCTGCATCGTAGGATCTTCTGGCAGCCTCTGGTGTAAGGTCTTGATATTTGATGCGCAGGACTCTCCTTCACAGAAGGGTTTATTTCATCTCCACGGCGTAAGACATCATAGCTGATAAATTTTTTATCTGCTGCTTGAACTAGAATGGAGCACATCAGTAGGACTCCTATGAAGATCCTTGCAATTTTGGGCATAGCCATTGGAAATTTCAGTTACAGTGTTCTGCATTGATTTTATTGAACGCACTGTTGCAATAAGCTCCAGATATTTAATGATGCAGCAACGCGGTTGAGAAGGTAAAGTAGTCAACTGTATAATGTTACAGCTAGACGCGTATAGTGAATTATATAAATATGCTTTGAGATAATGCATGTATTTAATGGTATAATATTACAGCTAGACACAGAAAGTGAATTCTATAAATCTAAAAACTTTGTTTTACTCTCGAGACATTTGTCACACCATATGGCCTATGTGGTACAAGTATTTACTTCTAGCCTATCTGTTAGTTTCTGAAAGTCAAGGGGTAATGAGATGCTAGCACCAGTATTTAGTTTACGTTGAACATTGAACATTGAAGGCATATTTGGTGTGCAGTTTAAAATGACAATAAATCGTCTTCTTATTTAATACTGTCTAGAACTTTCTAGTCTGTGTTACCAAGCAGGCCCATCAACGTATGCATGATCATCTTGACTTGAAGATCATGACAGCTCATTGGGATTTAGATGATTTTCAAATGAATAGAAGTTTCTTCCACATTATACGGCACTGGGATGGAATGGTATTGTTTTACTCAATGGACTTTTGATCATAAATTTCCGATTTAGTTTTTGAACTTCTGTTTTTGTTCTTGACGTTTGTTCGTGTATCTGACACGTGGTATTGTGTTGGGACGTCTGGAATGCTTGACTTGGTACTTTTCCATCCACAGCCACTACTAGATCTACAAACAAGTAGGTTGGTTGGAGGGGGCAACCCCTATCTCTTCAACATTTTGATGATGATGTCTGTAACAAGACTATGGGCATGATAACCCAAACTTGAATGGACTCCTGCTGATCTTAATGGGCTTTCTAAATAGTTGGCCCAAACAAGTTTTTAGCAGTCTTTATGGGCATGTAAAGCCCAACTTTTGTAGCCTGTGGAAGGGGTCTACTTGAAAGGGACACTCTGATAATTTCCGAAAAGGAGAAATGGTAAAAAGATTCGCGGTAGACCCCGTCACCTCATATTGCTCACTGTTTAACCAATCAAATTCCATCCATTATGTAGTAATGTAAAGGGAAAATTACAGTCACGATGTCAAATCTTTTATTTTTATGCAGATTTGATCCAAACTCTTCATCTGCGCCACTCACATTACCAAATCTTTCAAAAACTCACACCTGGAATCCAAATGAACGATTTTTGTTAGTTTGATTGTTAGTTAATTAGAGACTTGGCATTAACCTTGATCATAATTTTGATTAATTTTAAAAGGATAAAATTGTAACTTTACATTTTTTTCAATAAAAAAATACAATTATAATATTAATATAAATAAAATTTAAAAAAAGCCAAAATCAAACACAAAATTCACTATCCATCACGAGTTAATTGTTTCAACGGTCACTGAACTTTACAAAGTGTCACGTTTCACTAACTGAACAATCTGAACTTTAAGTTGCATTCCGTTACTCACTGAACTTAGTAAAGTTGTACTCCATCCATCACCGGCAAATTTCGTCAAAATCGGTTGCCTACGTGGATGACGGTTTGCACCCGTGGTCGTTAAATTAATTCAGCTGGCCGAGTTAATTGTTTCAACGATCACTGAACTTTACAAAGTGTTACGTTTCACTAACTGAACTTTAATATACATCTCATCACTCACTGAACTTAGTAAAGTTGCACTCCATCCATTACTAGGCTAATTTCATCAAAATTGGTAGCCTACGTGGATGACGGGTTGCACACGTGGCCATTTATCAGCTATATCATAAATTCCCAACACCTAAACATGTCTCACCCAATTTGATCTCATGCCTAAAGATGGCCAAGGCATGACTAGTGCATATGCGATTGTGGATTTCGATGGCCAACGTAGATGTACCAAGACCATTTTTTAGGATCTCAACCCTCAATGGGATGAGAATCTCAAATTCATGGTCCATGATGTCGAATCAATGATGTCGGCTTCAGCTCCACCTGTGACGGAGGCGGGGGTCGAGAAGGCTTGATTTCAGAGATCAAATTGCGTGAGACGTGTTTGGGTATTGAGAATTTATGACATGGCTGATTAATGGCCAGTTGGAGTAATTTAACGACCACGTGTGCAAACCGTCATCCACGTAGGCAACCTATTTTGACGAAATTAGCCCAGTGATGGATGTAATGCAACTTTACTAAATTCAGTGAGTGATAAGATGCAACTCAAAGTTCAGTTAGTGAAACGTGATACTTTGTAAAGTTCAGTAACCGTTGAAACAATTAACGAGTCTGAAAAAAGCCCTGCGTCGCACTCGAACGTCCCCAATGCCTGAGCAAGACCCCCATTATACGTTGCCAACTTCTCACAAATATATCATTGAAAGTCATCCAACTTATAGATACATTTCATCTTAGTATCTCAACTTTAATTACTTCAATTTTTTGGTTCAAATATAATTTTTATTTTTCACTTGTGTTTTGAGTGTTTGACCATTGCTTCTTTGAATATAGAATTCAAACTTCAAAGGGATTGAATAAAATAGGACACTCCCAACTCTAATCATAAACTTGCATTTTGAGTTTGAATGATGGTGAAAGCTACGTTGAACATGAAATTCAAAAGGATCAAATAAAATATGATACTCTAAATCATATAATTATAATAAACATATAATTAATGAACATTTAACTAATTTGAATAAGTATCATTTGATCCTTATGATATTTGTTTTGCAACGAACCTCGATTTTTGCTAACATGCATGCCTTGACATTGTTTGACGTTAAATAAATAAAATTTTATTTGCCTGTGACTTGTTGATCTAGTGACAAACAAGTCTTAGAACACACATAATGTCGATGTATAAGATTGATAGACAGTTTTAATCACAGTTACACGCTTAATGATGAAATTGAAAAAAAAAGGGTTAAAAGTAAGAAAGTGAAAAAAGAAAGACAAAAGTCAGATGCCTTGGAGTAGCTTTTCATCCTGTCATTCGAAAGGAGCGACTACTCTTTGTTCGTTAAGAGTTTCTGTGATTTTTCTCTTTTGTAGCATCTTATAGAAAGATCTAACTGGATCATATTGAAACAAATTAATGTTGAGATACCAATATAAAACAATCTTTCAAGTTGATTGACCTTGACTGAAAATTTGCCCCTTCGTACCCTTAAAAACCAGGCACTCAACTCATCCCCCATCCTCTCTCTCTCTCTCTCTCTAACTATTATTAGTCATGAAGAAGTTGTACAAGAAAGGCACTGTTCATCCAACGCCACAGTTGGCTTCCGAGAAGTTGCTGTCCTTTTTACCGGCGACAATCTTAACTCTCACGGTGACGTTATCGCCGGAAGACCGAGAAGTTTTGGCATATCTCATTTCTTGCTCCTCCACCAATTTTTCCAACAACCACGTCAATAATACCCAAAAAACCACCAGCACCGCCGCCGCTGACCACCGTCCGTCTTTCAACTGCTACTGCTTTAGCTGCTACACGAGCTACTGGGTGAGATGGGATTCTTCTCCGAACCGTCAACTCATACACGAGATTATAGATGCATATGAAGATGATCTGCAAATGAAAAACAAGAAAGAAAAGAGCAAAAGAGAGAGAAGGAAGAGTAGACGTAATAATAGTCATATCTCCGACGAGTCAAAAGTCACTGAACTGAGTTTGAGTAAGGACGAGCATACTGAGTCAAACTCGACGGCGGAGAGTGCTGTTCCCGGTGAGGATACGTCGGAATTAGAAGTGGTAAAAGGGTCTGTCGGGGGGTTCTTGAATTTTCTTGGAGAGAGATTTTGGGGTGTTTGGACCTAAAGATATCGGAGGAAAATAGGTGATTTGAGTCTCTTTTGCTTATACAAAGTTACAAACCAAGAAAATTTTCATTTTTTTTTATGTTTTAGTTTTGTAGCATACTATGTAAAATCTCATGGGTAGTTTAATGTAATCACGCTATTAGGTTTTGTATCAAACAACATTAGGTGGGCGATTTTGTAAATCGAGTCGAACTTCAAATAGATTTTGGACACACTCAGTCCATTAATTTCTACAAAGATCTTGTCTTTCATTTTTTTCCATCAAAAATTAGACGACGTTGGAGTGCGAAGCTACGCTTATTTAATTGCTTTTAAGACGACCCTATTGGGGTTTTATTGCAATTTATGTGCGAACAAAGGTTTCATTGCTATTCTCTTGTTTTCTCCCCGACATGATTTTAGACCTTTACGAAATATCCATTTGCTACCTTTGTCCAATGCTATTAACTTGTTTGTTTCTCTACATATTCCTTGGGGGTCCAATTCATTATTGTCCTCTGAGCTTCGATGAATGAAATACAATAGCATTCTTGTTCAGCAATTTTTCAATGACATTTTATCAAAATTTGCTAAATCTTTTATTAAAAGCGTTGTCACATGGACCCTTAAAAAGCTGCTGAAACGTAAATCAATCATTTTATACTTAAAATTAATTCAAAATGGACTGCATGAATGCTGCCTGAGAAAGTAGGCAGGATTCATGCCAAAGTCACCCTATCTGTATTAATCACTAAAGAAGTATTTTCAGTTTTTGATGGTTTCTTAACCAAATCATTGCCCTATGAGCCATTGACTCATTTCTCAACAGGTACGCGGCTGGCTCCTCCCGCTACTTGGGAGCTTACGATTTCAGACCAATTCGAATAATTTATGTAACTTATTTGGACCATACCAAGCATAAAGTTTCATCTAACGTGACATTCTTCTCCATTATGTCACTTCAAGAAATGCAATGCATGCACGCTAACGATTCTACAATGCATTTTTAAATGCAAGCATTCACCTATAACTCTTGTTTGATCCACGAATTATACTTTCGAGATATATCTACTTGACTACTTGTATCCCCTTTTTTTTTTTTTTGGTTACGTTCATCAATGTGGCTATTAGAGTATGCATTTTGTAGCTTTTTTCCACTTTTAAACAACAAACCCTCGAAAGAAAATAGTTTGTACCAAACAAGCTTAAAGTTAGAAACTAACCATCTTATTTAAATATTTAAATTTTTGTGAATAAGGGTGTGTTTGAATCGCATTATTTTGGAAGAATGTATTCTGGAATTACTAGATTGATGGAGAATTTGTGGTTGAAAAAAAAGGAAAAGTTATTAATGTGATGGAAAATATTATTTTATTATAAAATATGTGGTTGAAAATTAATAGAAGCACAAGAATGAAAATTTTAATGTGTAACATGGGCTAAGTATATTCTATCTGGATCCAAATGGTGGCTGATAAGAGGATATTGTATTGCCCAATTGTCACGCATTAGTTCATCGCATTATAGTGAAATATTGAAAATCAAAGCATTGAAATTTTGACTTGTTAAGTATTGGTGGGAATGAGTCAACAAGCCACTGCTGTTAATAATTTAATATTTCCAAATTACATACTTAAGATGGGGACTGAAGGCTCAGTCGATATTAGTCTGCGCATTTGACTGCTTCCACATTTAAGTTACAGAAAATTCTACATTTTATCCATATTTTCTCCGTGTTTTGGGTCAATGGGACGGATATGAGACGGGATTGTTCATTCTTACTCATTTTTGTCACATTGTTCCATCCACGTACTCGATTAAAGTGAGACGAAATGAGTTCGGGGTGGGGTGGGGTTTTCTGCCCCATTTATCGCAACGTTTATTTTTTTCTTTTTAGTTTTTATTTATTTTATATTTTGTTTATGTCTTTAGTTAGTAAAGATTATTATTTTATTTCCAATTTATTAAGAACGGCTCACGTTCTCTTTAAAAATGATGATAAACATTTTATTTTTGTTTGATAAAAAACTTAAATTTGAAATTAATTTTAAACGGAGCGGGTAGCGAGGCAGGGACTAAGTTTCTCGTACCCGCTCCGTACCCGTTCGGGGCAATAACCCCGAATCTGTTTACCCAGTTAGGCGGTAATTCTCATCCCATTCAGGGAGGGGCCCATGGATATCGGGTCGAATAGATTTTTTTGTCATCCCCATATGCATTGGATTCATTTTTTAGTTAATAGTCAAATCTCCAAAGTTTGTATAAATAGATGATTATGAGATTCCAACTAAGTTTTTTGTAGATTGTCGCAACACTCAGGTTGGGCAAACGTGGACCCAGCACTATTGATAGGCCACATTGGGCCTGGACCGCCTAGTTCGCATGTTCATCAGGGAGTAATTTTGAGTAGGGAATAATACATTTCTAAGATATTTACTTTACACATTTTCAAAAATACAAAAACAAGTTTCAAATTTCACAACTCGGGTTTTTTAATTTTTTATTTATGAATTATTAAATCAATTTATTATTAAATATTTAATTATATTATAATATTATTACCCCACCCTACCTCCACCACCCCCACTGCTCCGGGAACTATTCCATGAACCATTCCGGTCACAACTCATCTCCAGTGACAATTTCGACTATTGCTCCGATTCCGACGACGATTTCGATTTCGGTGAAAATTTTTTAAGTCACAATTCAAAATTTTCATAGATCACAATTTGTTTATTGGTCACAACTTAGAAATTTAAAAGTCACAATTTGTTCATCGATCATAGATCCCGAAATTTATAAGTCACAATACTTATTTAGGTCACAATTTATCAATTTATTAATCACAATTAATAATTTTTAGGTCACATATTAATAATTTTTAGGTTACAATTAATAATTTTTTGGTCACAAATAACCAAATACTTGATCACATACCACCAACAATAACCACTACAGTCGCTGCCCCCGCCACAAAATCGCCACCACCTCAGGGCAACCAGTACCAACACCACTGTTGCAACAACTAACACCCCACACAAAACATCACTACCACTACACAAAAACACCACAGTCGTCGTCGGATGGCTATCAACATCGCCACCGCCAGATCCGTGCACAAAAACTACAACGGATCTGTGCACAAAAACCATCAAAAACCACAAAAATACAATGGATCTGTGACAAAAACCATCAAAAACCACTATAACTACTATCGTTCGCGAACAGCGGCGGCGTCGCGACTCTGCCGCGAACTGCAGCAGCGTCCTGACGTCGCTACTGTGAGATCGCTGCTGCAAACTGCAGCAGCAGCAGCGGCTTAGCGAATGACAGCGTCGACGCTGCCGCGAACTGCTACGCAGAGAGAGGCGGCGGATTTGGGCCGGCAGTAGCTGTGGAGATGAAAGAGAGGGAGAGTTCTAGAGAGAAGGAGGAGAGGAAGAAGTCGACGACCGTGACTGTAGCGACGGCGACGACGTAGAGCAGAGAGACGGGAGGAGGATAAGAGTAGAGAGGGTGGGCTGTGGGAGGAGAGAGGGTGGAGGGGAAGAAGTGGTTGAAATGATTAGGGTTTGGTTGTGATCAATTTCCTTTTATTGTATATAAAAATAAAAAATATTTTTAAATTATCAAATAAAACCTGATTTTTGTGATGTTGAACTTGTTATTGGATTTGTGAAATTGGCAATATATTTTCAGGTGTGTGTGTAATTTCTTCTTACTTAATTTTATTTATGTCACAATTTATCAATTTATTAATCACAATTAATAATTTTTAGGTCACATATTAATAAATTTTAGGTTACAATTAATAATTTTTTGGTCACAAATAACCAAATACTTGATCACATACCACCAACAATAACCACTACAGTCGCTGCCCCCGCCACAAAATCGCCACCACCTCACGGCAACCAGTACCAACACCACTGTTGCAACAACTAACACCCCACACAAAACATCACTACCACTAAACAAAAACACCACAGTCGTCGTCGGATGGCTATCAACATCGCCACCGCCAGATCCGTGCACAAAAACTACAATGGATCTGTGCACAAAAACCACAAAAATACAATGGATCTGTGACAAAAACCATCAAAAACCACTATAACTACTACCGTTCGCGAATAGCAGCGGCGTCGAACAGCAGCGTCGCGACGCTACCGCGAACTGCAGCAGCGTCCTGACGTCGCTACTGTGAGATCGCTGCTGCAAACTGCAGCAGCAGCAGCGACTTAGCGAACGACAGCGTCGACGCTGCCGTGAACTGCTACGCAGAGAGAGGCGGCGGATTTGGGCCGGCAGTAGCTGTGGAGATGAAAGAGAGGGAGAGTTCTAGAGAGAAGGAGGAGAGGAAGAAGTCGACGACCGTGACTGTGGCGACAGGGACGGCGTAGAGCAGAGAGACGGGAGGAGGATAAGAGTAGAGAGGGTGGGCTGTGGGAGGAGAGAGGGTGGAGGGGAAGAAGTGGTTGAAATGATTAGGGTTTGGTTGTGGTCAATTTCCTTTTATTGTATATAAATATAAAAATAAAAAATATTTTTAAATTATCAGATAAAACCTGATTTTTGTGATGTTGAACTTGTTATTGGATTTGTGAAATTGGCAATATATTTTCAGGTGTGTGTGTAATTTCTTCTTACTTAATTNGGATTTGTGAAATTGAAAATCTATTTCCAGGTGTGAGTGTTATTTCCTCTTTTCTTTTGGGTATTCAATATAAAAGAATTGGACAGGAATGTCCTTTCCACAACTAGAAGGACAAGAAAGTTGATGACCGGATGATAAGGGACACGATGACCAAAACCTTGGTAAATGGCGGCCCTGACTACGAGGGTCTTAAGATAGCGAAATTCCTTATCGGATAAGTTCCAATCTGCACGAAAGGCACAATGATATCCGTTAATAAAAGAAGTGAGGAGGCTTTTACTTTATCGCTTAAGTTGTGTAGGAATTCCTGAGCCCAAGATTTAAGAATAACAAGTTCTTCATTATCAAAAATAGAATAAACACTTAGAATGACAAAAAATATTACATTTGTCAAGAAGTGCAAGATCGTATGGGTTCGATGCAGACATCGTAATAAAATGAATAAGCGAAAAAATCTACACTGAACTAATTGAAATAGTTTTGCATATCTGATAGCTATGAAGACATTGGCAGCTATATACAAATTTGAATTGGACATTCTAAGTAGTTACAACAAAGATATAATACCGGGGCAATGCATTCTTATATTATATCTAATGCATTCTTATATTATATCTAAAAGAAGATTGCTAGTTATGTACAGTAATCGATGCGCAACCTTTTAAGCGTTCAAGAATGGCATTTCGGGTGACTAACCCCGAATGAAGAGTAAGCGGGAGTCCTTCCTTGACACACTCATTGTATTTTTCTAGTGCAGACACGATGTCGCTAAAATCTGGCCGCTTTGAGGGATTTGCTGCCCAGCAGCTCTTTATAAGGTGTGCAAGCGCAGGTTGACAATTGGCTGGCAATGGAGGTCGCTCGTTCTGCAAAAAAGGTAAACGATGTTAACTAATGTCTCCCACGTCTTTCAAGAATTTGATCGAGCAGAGCATGTTTCAATTCCGTTAATTCGGCTGGATTACTAGTGCTAGCGTATTTTACATTCGACTCTCAACTTATTGTAACCCTTCTTCTTAGGTGGACTCAAACCGACTATGATAATGCAGCCAAGTCCTCCAAACTGATAATTTCGATAACTGTGGATGCTTATAAGACAAAACATTTGCACCACTAAGTGTATTATATATATAAATTGTTTGTGAGAATATAAGTTTGGAGCAAAACTTGAGAGTTTTGAAAATTGTTTGTGATTGCTACATATGTGATTTGACCATTGTATCTTGAAAGTGATTGTTCAAAGAAACCACATCACTTCACTACGGACAATTTCACTTTACTATCACGAATCTCGATCATTAGATAATTCTTCTTACTTTCTACATTTTTATTATTTAGAATATCAATATATATGTAGCAAATTTTATCCTACAAAGTGTCCCTTCATAATGTTCATTACTTAAAGCAGAAGCAAGTAAATATTCTAACCTTATCAACCACAGCAAATGCAGCTTGCACTGGAGTCATTCCTTGAAAAGGAAGCAAGGCCGTCATGAGTTCCCATAGCACGATCCCAAAACTATAGACATCGACTTTCTGGGTGTACGGTTTCTCTTTGATCATCTCGGGTGCCATCCACCGGTAAGTTCCTTTATTTCCTTTGGTTTTCTTGCACTGTGTTTTGAGACAAGAAGTACCAAAATCTGCAACCTTAACACGCATCTCGTCATTTAAGAGCAAGTTGTTCGATTTGAGGTCTTTATGTATCACCCCTTGTGAATGAAGATACTCCATTCCTCGTGAAATATCAAGGGCTAACCTCAGAATAGTCTCGATTGAAAGCGAGTATGGCTCTTTCTTGTTAAGATACATCCTTAAATTCCCTCGTGACATGTACTCGGTGACAATACAGTACACTGGAGGCTTCTTACACGCATCAAGGAACTGCAGATAAGAAAGTGTAAGACAAAAGTAAGTCTTAAGCTTCAGCGAGTTTGGTAATGATCGGCTGACATTGCTTTTTCGACCCCATGCATTCAACAAACACGACTACCTAGAAAAGATATTGCTAAACATTTTTCATTCTGGGATCATAAATTGCTTCCTCGACTCGAATTTAAACAACATAACTTGTTGGATAAGGTAAAGAAAATCGAACCTGCACGATGTTGGGATGATATAAACGTGAAAGAAGGGCAACTTCAGACTCGAATTGATGTTCAAGCAAAGCTTTATTCTCTTCCTTATGAGTTGGAATCCTCACCATTTTTACAGCAGCTGCTCTCTGCTTATAAATCCCTCCATAGATTCTACTGTGTGCTCCAGATGCAAATTTATTACCTACAAATAACTGAGGAAGATCAACAGCCCATTCTTCATGATCCTCAGATTCTTCCCAAGTTTCGAAATTTTCCGAATCCAATATCGTTGACCACGATTCCAAACTTTCAAATCTTTTCCTCTCCATATTGTTGCTTTCAGATATTAATTTGTTGTTTCTATAAGTGGAAGGGATTAATGTTGAAGGTGTTTTACTCTTCAATGTTCGCAGTCGAAACGGTTTAAAACACGATGTAGCCATTGAAAATCAAAGTCTCAAAACACACAATGATCAAAAGATGTTGGTTTTGTTTTGAATGTGCGAATTGATTTCAAGAAAAGAAACATGGGTTCTTATATTCAGAATTGTGGACCGTAAGGTGGATTGAACATGGATGATATTAAGAAAGAAAAAGAGCTTAAAATCTTATTCATTGTGACGTGAACGAAACAAGCACGAAAGAGAGACTAATCATGAAAACTTAAGTTCAGACAAGAAATTAAACGTTTGACAAGTTGTTCATGCTAAGGAAGTTTGGGTTTCATCAAAATGGAGATTTTCAAGAAAGAGAGTTTGTGGATGCTTGAATTTTTCTTATTAACATTAGTTTCTTGGGCAGATGAAGATAAACTCAAAGCAAAAGTTCCCATGGATATCTCGTGAAATCTTGTTTCACAAGGAGAAGAGTAGGGTGGGGTGGGGCGGGTTCAAACTTCCCAATTTTCTTATGAATCAATTAATGCTAACTTAATTAATGAACCACAACCTACAACTTCAAAAAGTTTAGTGCTTTGTTTTCAATCATGGTTGGTGTATAATCTTTCTTACAATATGCCACGTGGCATATTATCATCTATTTTAGAAGAATAATGTTATTTGCAGTCCATATCAAGTGTGTATTTAATACATTAATGTGGTAAAAAAACTACCACATTAATGTATCAAATAATTACATGCCATATAGGACAACTGCTGCACTGAACGATTATGAATAACATTACTCAGTTTAGAAGGCATTGTACATGGAATATCCAGCACTTGATGTAAATAATTTCTTTATTATTCATTTCATCTATGATTAATGATCCAAATTAAAATTAGTAGAAGTAAATTTTATCTCAAGTAAGCTTTTGAAAGCTATTTTAGCTTCTATTTATCTATTATTTTTTCAAAATTCTTTTTTCTTGACATTCATTTTTAACATATTCACACAATAAAATATTTTACTGTAAATCCAAAATAATTCTTGAATTTGAAAAACTCATTTTGCAAGCCAAGCATGGAGCATTGTCAGTTAAGGAAACCTAGAGCAAATTTGTCCAATTCAAATGTCTCAATCTTCTAATCCCCTTCTTCACAACATCAGCAGTTTAGTTATGAAAATTTGAGTTTAAAGTTTCGCTGAAGGAAAATGCGGCTGAAGCCCAACATTCTAATACAAGTTATTCTCTTGTTTGATTGTTCTCTTTTTCCAGATAATTTGTACAATGTCTTCTTATGAACGCTAGAGATGATGAAGCAGAGCATTGTAAGACAATGAAAGCCTGTCAGGCTCATGGTAGCATCCGATCTCCTCAATTTTATGCAAATCTTAGCCTCCGTTTGGCAAAAAATTATAAACTGTTTTTTGACAAATTAAGATCATACTTCTATAATAAAAGGTGCTTAAAACAGAAGAATTCGGAAAGAAATTTTTGATATGAATAAATAAAATACAAATAAAAATATTAAAAATCAGAGAAATGTGGACGAGCAACAATCGAATCGTCAATCGGGAGAAATGACGACTGAAACGATATCTCGCCATCATCGCTATACCTTCTGTTCTTTGATATGACCAGACGAACTCATTATCGTCCCTCATTTTTACGAATATCGAACAGAGGCGCATATTATATATATATATAAAAGAAATAAAAGCAAACATATCATCAATTAGGAGTTGAAGAAGTGCCCATACAATCGGGCGGTATGTGCTGGGAGGAGGCGGAGAGGGACGGCTACCTCTGGGGAACCGATGGGGGAAGGGGAAGGGGAAGGGGAAGGGGGAAGTGGGGAAGGGGGAAGCCGGCATAATCAATCAGCGCTTTGAAGTGATTTGTACGCAAATATAGCTCCAGAGTCTATATATAGACGGCCGGATATTGGGTTACAAAAAACCCTAGTTAGCAATTCTTGAGACTACCCCTAAATAAGAGATATCTTTTGATCTTTCAGAACCCTTAACTATCAAATATGACACTTCAGTCCTCGTTCAACATGCAAATTGTGATTAGGTAATTTCCTCTTTCGATGGGTACGCGATTTGCATCCACTTGTGACATGTGGTGTTAGTAATCCACAAGTTCAAAAATTAGTCTATCCACATACTACAAACAAGTCGATTCGTGAAAAAAAAAAAAAAAAAACAGTTG